TTTTCTTTCATCGTCTTATTTTTCGTCGACAGTTTTATTTTCACCCCCCCCACCCCCTCTTCTTCTATGAGCATTGTTTATTGAGGCAAAAAACAAAGAAAAAATTATGATTACAAAACATACATTTGAGGATCATCAGTCTTTTAGTCGAGTGCTACTTTACGTTGTCGTTCATGTTTTTAGCTTAGCAAAAAAATGAGAGAGAAAAAAAAGAAAGAAGACGGATCATTTTTCCTATAACTTTAAATCGAGAGGAGAAAATATTGAGACACTATTAAAAAATAAAGAACAATACGTGCTGTGGTGCTTTTATTACACAATTGCTTTTTTATATAAACTTGATAGGCTTAACTTGTTGACCTATCGAACTTGATAATATAATGGAGACAGCAATACAGTTAATGAGAATGAAAAAAAAAACAGAGAAATGAAAAAGAAGAAAAGAAAACTTGCGGCAAAAGTGTCTGTTAAATTGAAAATTCAATCAATATCGATTCATTTTAGATTGATTGTTCATTTCGGTAATGACTTTTTTTATTGCGATTAATAATGTTCGTTGTTACTGTTTATCTATTTTTTTTATTTTTTCAATAATAATCAATAATAATAATAATAATAATTTATAATAAATAATTTAAACATCTAAGTTATTTTAAATTAATTATTATTAGTTTTACTATTGTTATTAATTTACCTCTTCACAAAATTCGTTCAATTTATTTTTTTTCAAATAAATTTAAAAATTCAATTTTCCCTTTTTTAAAAAAATATTTTTCGATTTATTAAAAATAATTTATTAATGAATAATAATTAGTTCTATTTTTTTTCTTAATTTCTCCCTTTAAAATATCGTTCAATTTCTTTTTTTTGTAAATAAATTCGCAATTTTATTCATCCGCTTTAGGGAAAATGAATTTTTTTTTTTTTGCTAAAAGCCTATTTTGCATAAAATAATAAAACTAGTTACTGGAGAGAGGCTTTTGAAATCTTCTCGATTTTTTTCACCTACAGATAAAAAAAATCGTTTAGCTCACACTTCAAACGTTTTAGCTGTAATAAAAAAAATAAAGTGATGTATATAGATTTTACTATCAAACTATACTTTCCTTTGCAAAAAAATTTATTTGAACAAATTTCAATTCGATTCATTACTCCATAGCATATTTTTATTTACTACATTTTTGAAATTATCATTTTTTCTTTGAATTTACTCGTTTACTGTTCAATATTTTTATTATTTTGAGTTTTTTTCTTTATTATCGTAGCTTTGCAGTAGTACAAGTAAATTATTAGTCAGACACATATTATTATTTTTATTTCATGCTAATATCATATTTTCAGTAGTACAAGTGAATTGTCAGTCATACATTTTTATTAGTAGTTTTATCTTATGTTAAAATTACCTTTTCAGTAGTACAAGTGTCAGACATATTTTATTATTATTTTTATATTAATATCGTCTTCTCAGTAGTTCAAGTAAATTATTAGTCAGACCTATATTATTATAATTTTTTTAATTTTATAATAATATTAATTTTATCTTTTCAGTAGTACAAGTAAATTATTAGTCAGACATATTTTATTATTATTTTGTTTATTTTGTAATAATATTTTTATATTATCTTTTCAGTAGTACAAGTAAATTATTAGTCAGACATATTTTATTTTTATTATTATAATTATTATAATTATTATTATTTTATTTTATATTAATATTACTTTTTCAGTAGTACAAGTAAATTATTAGTCTGACATATTTTACTATTATTTTTATTTTGCACTATTCTCATCTTCTCAGTAGTACAAGTAAATTATTAGTCAGACATTTTGTTATTATTTTTATTTTATGTAAATATTATCTTTTCAGTAGTGCAAGTAAATTATTAGTCAGACCTATATTATTATTATTATTTTTTTAATTTTATAATTATATTCATATTATCTTTTCTCAGTAGTACTAGTAAATTATTAGTCAGACATATTTTATTATTATTTTGTTTATTTTGTAATAATATTTTTATATTATCTTTTCAGTAGTACAAGTAAATTATTAGTCAGACATATATTATTATTTTTATTTCATGCTAATATCATATTTTCAGTAGTACAAGTAAATTATCAGTCATACATTTTTATTAGTAGTTTTATCTTATGTTAAAATTACCTTTTCAGTAGTACAAGTAAATTATTAGTCAGACATATATTATTATTAGATTTATATTAATATCGTCTTTTCAGTAGTTCAAGTAAATTATTAGTCAGACCTATATTATTATTATTTTTTTAATTTTATAATAATATTCATATTACCTTTTCAGTAGTACAAGTAAATTATTAGTCAGACATATATTATTTTTAATATTATCATTATTCTAATTATTATTATTTTATTTTTTATTAATAATACTTTTTCAGTAGTACAAGTAAATTATTTGTCAGACATATTATTTCTATTATTAGGTATAGGTCTGTTTATTATTTTTTTTATATATATTATTTTTTCAGTAGTGCAAGTAACTTATTAGTCAGACAGTATGTTATTATTATCATTATAATTATTACTTTTATTCTTAATTAAAAAGAAATTAAATTTAGATAAAAAAAAGTATAATTAATTAAAAAACAAATAAAATTAAAATATTTTTTTCATTTTTTACTTTTATAATATTATATTAATTTTATAATATTAATTAAAAGAAGAAATAAAATAAAAATATTATTTTAATTTTTTCCTTTTATATAATTTAACAATTTAAAATTTTTTACACATAAAAAGAAAAGAGAGAAATTTACATGATTAAAATATTTAGGTCTCACAATTAATTTAAATATTGAATTGAATGCAATTTGTCTGTGAGTGTATGTGTGTGTGAGTGTGTGAGCGTGCGCACGTGAAAAAATCATATTGACAGATAGAGAATTTCCCTTTTAAATTACGAGAAATATGTCGATTTTATCAGGATTTCAACGTCGTTGACATGCTTCTCTTCTAGCCGGAGAATCTCACTATTAAATAACCAAGAGACAACGACAGGGCGTCCATTCCCATAAAACTGAATTATAGCCGGTACTTCCAACATTCAAGGATCACTTTAAGTCATTAGATTTCACAAGTTCTCTCTGCTTGAAACCCAACATAAAGTAAAAACAGAGAAAGAGAGAGAGAGAGAGAGAGCGAGAGCGAGAGACAAGGAGAGAAAAAACTTATGCTTCATATAAACTTGCAAACGTAAGCTTCATAAAATGCATTTCTCACAAAAAATTTTTTCATATACGCAAAAAGAAATTTTGCAATTTTGATCGTGCAAAAATTTTCAGAACTCTATTTTCTCAAAATTGTCATTGTGATTGCGAATTTTTGTCAGTTTGAAAATTTTATTGTTGACGCTCTTCTTAGTATTTCTGCTAAATTGCTATATTATTACATGTCTGGCCAAATACGCCTTTTTCTACTTAGAACTTTAAATTACATTCTACTTCATTTATTTTAATTTTATTCGTTCATTAAAATAATAAAAATTACAATTTTAGTACTTTTTCATTATTTTCTATAAAAATAGTACAAGAAAATAATTATAATATGTTTATTTTCAAACCTCGAAAGATTTTAAATAAATTAATAATAAAAATAGTAAAATAAATAAACTAATGAAACATAAAAAGAAAAATACTACGAACGAACTTAATAACGTAGAAAAAATAATAAAAATAATCTAAAGGAATAATTACTTTTTACAAAATGACAATTTTTTTTACAACAATTTTTATAAAAAAAAATTTTGTTAATAATAATAATAATAATTGTTATCTTTACTTATAGGCAATGTCAACCTTGCTCGTCTAAATTAAATAAAGAAATTAATTAAAATTATTTGGTTTATTTTTTATTTGTTTATGTCGAATGACAGTGAGTTCGAAAAAAAAATTCACCGCCTCTGATGAAAGTTGTCTTGAAAATTCTTTATTAGGTTCTGTTAAACTGTTCTTTTTAGTACTTTAATTTAGTGTCTGTCTATAAATGTCTTTTTCCCCTATAAAGAATGTTTATTGAGTTACACTGGAGTAGCATTTTTTACTGCCTGATTTCGTGTCAAAGAATAAAAGATTTTTTTTTCTACTACTTATCAAGGTCAATTGTGTTGGAAAAGTCTCTTTTTTACATGTCTGTCTATAGACTTCTTTTTCTCCTAAAATAAAAAGTTAGTAAAAATATCAAAAAACAAAAAAAAAATTATACAGAATTTTTTTTAACACTATTCAATAATGTCTGTCTATAAAAGTATTTTTCTACTTAAAACCATTAATTACGTTCTATTACAAGTGTTTTTATTTTATTGTATAATTAACTTTTATTAATTTAAATACTGTCTGACTAAAATTGTTTCCTTCCACTTTTAATTGTGAATATTTATTTAAACTTTCAAAACTTTAGAACAATTAATTTTTAGCATATAAAATTTTTTTTTAATTACTTCTTACTATTTTTAATCACACTTATGTCTGAATATAAACGACAATTTCTACTTGAAAACATTCACCATGTTCTTTATCATCGTCGAAAACTTTTATTGTTATATGCTTACTGTCTGACTAAAATTGTTTAGTTCCACTTAAAAAATGCGATTTTTCCGCATTACTGAACTACTTTTAAGGAAAAATAATAAAATACTATCTAATATTTAGTCGCTGAATTTTTTCACAATACTTAATTGAGTGTCTGACTATAAACGAAATTTTCCACTGAAAATAAAATGCCTCACCTTATAGCATTTTTTTCTATTCAAATTTTTTGGCAATTATCAACATTTGTACTGATAGAAAAAAAGGAATTGTACCTAAAATACTATTAAATGTCTGTCCAAAAATGTCTGTCTCTCCTTATTTTTATAAATTTAAATCTTTTTCCACTGTTAGTGAGGCGATTTTAAGAAAATTATAGACATAAAAAATAATCGCACACAAAAAGCTCACGTCATTGTTTATGACAATTTGTACTCTACCTGTACTCACCGATCTCCGGTATGTTCCTGTCATGACCGGTTCCGATGACGAACTGTAACAGAAAGAAAAGAAAAAAGATTTTTAAAAATTACTCAAATATATTATTCTTGCTATTTTTTATTAATTTATTTTTTATTTTTTATTTGCTTAAAAAAAATATTTAAAAAAATCTGCATTTCGAAGGGCAATCGATAAAAAAATTAATAATTTTTGTAGCAAAATTAAAAAATTTTTTTTTATATTTTAAAAATAGTAAAAAATTAAATACAGAAATGATTTACTATAATTATTATTTTTACTACTATTATTACTATCATTATCATTTTTATTATTATTATTATTATTATTATTATTATTATTATCATTATTAATATTATTATCTCCATTAAAAAATAAATTTTGCAGTGCACTATTAAATTTCTTTGACAACTTGTTATCCTTTTTGACAAAGGAATTACAAATAGAATTCAATTTTTAAGTTTTCGAAAATTTTTTAATAACTAAAACTTGAACCTCGAAAAAGTTGTTTTCTTCTTTCTTTTTTTTTTTAAAAGTCAAGTTATATTGCCAGCAGCGGTACTTTGGAGAAATTTTTTCAACGTTGAAAGTCCCTAAAGTTTTCAGTTATGCAGCAGCTGTAACTCTTAATCGTAGAGATGGAAGATGCTTGGAATAATTTAACATCCACTCGTTTTCTAACCAGGGATCTTCTTTTCAACTGGTTTACCATTTTTTTTTTGTTCTTTTCACTTTTTTCTTTATGTTTCTCTGTTTGCAAAACAATATTTCAAAGATACAGATTTTATTATTCAGTTTATCTATTTTATTAAAGCAATCAATGAATTATTAAATTGAAAGAATTTTACTGTTTATTCAAAATATGTATATAAAAATTTTTCTATTTCTATACTCTTATAGTTGCGACAAAAAAAGTTAATTGCAAAAAAAGTTAGAGCTCAAAATCCAACTAATTTTGCCTAAAAGACAATTTTTTTTTAATGTTTTGGAAGGGAAATAAATTGAAAAAGATTTTTTAATTATACAATGCTCAAAATCGAAAAAAATCCAAGACCTTCTCATTATTTTTTATCAGAATATAATAAAATAGAAAAATAAATAGAAAAAAACAAAATGAATGTAAAGAAAAATAAAGTAATTAAATAAATGAATAGAAAATGAATAGAAAATGAATAAAAATAAATAGAAAAATACAAAATGAATATAAAGAAAAATAAAGTAAATAAATAAATATTAAAGTGAATAAAAATAAATAGAAATTAAAAAAAAAAAAAAAAAAAAAAAAAAAAAATTATATATCGATATATTTTCAAAAATAATAAAAATTATAACCACAATATTATTCCTCCTTTGCGATTGTTTCTATAAAACGACAGAAAAAAAACAGATTTAAAAGTTTCATTTTCAGAAGAATGGAAGTTAATTGGATTTCTAATTTAAATGATTCGTCTCAATTTTTTCTTCTTCTTTTTTTCTTAAGTTGGCGCAAAGAAAAATTAACTACTGAAAAGATCTTTATTGTCAGAGGTAATGACTTGTGGCTGTGTAAAATAGTTTCACCCTTAAAATGGTTTAAAGTAGAGCAACAGCAGTCAGAGGAATCTCAATTTTCTTTCTGAGAAAGAAATCTCTAAAGACTTCTTTCTTTCTCTCTTCAGAATAACACGGAATAACGAGGACTACTTGACGTTTTACCTTCGAGGGTTTCTTCTTAAATGTAATCGATAAAAACTGGCAGAAAGAATTTTATTTTCTATTATATAGTTATAGGACATTTTTTTATCAATATTTTAACAATTGATTTTTTCGTCAACAATTTAAATTAATAACTTTCGTCATTTTACATTAAATACTTTCCTTTATACAATTTTTTTATATTTTTTTATTTACTATAATTTGATTTATTTTTTATAAAATAAATAGGTCCCATTTCTAAATAAATAAATAACCAATTTAATTAATAATAATAATAATAATAATAATAATAATAATAATAATAATAATAATAATAATAATAATAATAATAATAATAATAAAACATAAAAAGTAATTAAAAATTGTATTATACAATATTTTATTTTTATTGATTTGGAATAAATTAAAATAGAAAAAAGTAGAAAAAATTTCCGAATATTTTTTTCTCATTTTAATTTGAGGGAATTTATGAATTGGAAATTTTTCTTCATTCAATGTGTAAACAAGAAGGGGAAATCGATTACAAAATTACATTATCTAACATAAAACTAAGTTGAAATGTTCCTTAGAGTAGAATTTGCAAAATTAGATTTTGGCGTTACATTGCATTTGAAATGCACCAGTTCACCCTACTATTTGGTATTCAAACCAACGTCATGTCTTCAATTCTGCGGGATTTCAACAGTTTAAAACGAAAATTTTTTCCCTTCAAACTTAAGCTCCACTTTCCAAGATTTTCAAAAAAAAAAAAATTTTTTTTTTTTTGTTTATCGTCTTATAAAGATTTTTTTCTCAACATTTTAGGTGGGACAGATTTTTTCTTTTCACAATATTCCAAGCAAATGATAATAAAATTTTTTTAATTTAATTAAAAATGAGAATATATTATAAAAACAATATAAACAAAAATTTAGAAATAGTATAAAGAATACAATAAAAAAAAAGAATACAATAAAAAAGTATTAAAATATTTAAAAAATGGAATTAGCGAATAAAAAATACTATACCTAAAGAATAGAATAATAAAATATAAAAATAGTATAAAACATACAGTCAAAGTATTAGAATATTTAAAAAACGTAATTAAAAATAAAAAAGAAAAAATGGTATAAAATTGAAATAAGAAAATAGAAAATAATATAAAAAATGCAATAAAAAAATTTTAAAATATTAAAAAAATAGAAATAAAAAATAAAAAAATTGTGTAATAAATAGAATAAAAAAATATATACATCGGATCAAAATTAATTTTAAAAAAATTTTTAAATAGTGTAAAGAATAAAATAAAAAATATTAGAATATAAAAACAGAATTAACAAATAAAAAATAGTATAAAAAATAGAATAACAAAATATAAAAATAGTCAAAGTATTAAATAATTAAAAAAATAGAATTAAAAATTAAAAAATTGTATAAAAAATAAAATTATAATAACAAAATATAAGAATGGTAAACAAAATTTTTTTTAAATTAAAAATAGTGTTAAGAATAAAATAAAAAAATATATAAATATTAAATATTAAAAAATAGAATTAACAAATAAAAAATGGTATAAAAAATAGAATAACAAAAAGTCAAAATAGTCAAAATATTAAAAAATTAAAAAAAGTAGATTTAAAATATAGAAAATTGTTTAAAAATAGAATAACAAAATATAAGAATAGAGTAAAAAATAGAAAAATAAAATAGGAAAATAGAAACACAAAATAGAAAAATAAAATAGAAAAATAGAAAAACAAAATAGAGAAAAATAAAAAAACAAAATAGAAAAATAGTATATAATAAATATTATGCAAAATAATATTAAAAATAGCATTAAAAAATAATACAAGAAATATAATAAAAATACAAAATAAATAGAAATTACTTAAAACTTTACCCTCGACGTTAACAATTTTTTTTCTCCTTGTTCTTTTATTTTTAAGAAGCAAAAAATTTAACAATTCCAATTTAGAAAAAAAATTTCTTTACAACAAGTGAAATAAAATTTGAAAAAGAAAAATTAATGAAAAAATGTTTATAATTCTTCTGAGAATTTTTAATTAAAGTCATTTGAAGAAGAGGAATTTTCACATGAATTTTCTTTTTTCACTGTTAAAATATTGCAAAACGATAAAATTCAACTTTTCGCAAGAGATTTTCATTCACAATGACAGTGATATCAGAAGAAGAGGGAAAAAAAAACGTTACCACCAAATGTATATGTAATATTTATATATGTATTCGCGCAGGAGTTTAAAAAGAAAATGTATATCTCCCCCGAGAGTTACAGGATTCGTTTCAATATTTTTACATCCGTTGCTCTTTTCTATCTTGAAAAGAAAAAGAAATGCACTTTAAAGTTTTATCGCGCAGTGCGAAATGTAATTTTTTTTTTCCTTTCATTTTTTTGAAAAAGTAAATGCAAAAATAAGCAATGATTCATATTAAATTCAAGTCGCTATTTCAAATTGTAAAAAAAAAATTAAATTTACCTTTTACAGTAAAGAGAAACTAATTTTTGGAAAAAAATGCCCCTCTTTCAAATTTTGTAAAATTCTATGTATTTATTTAAAAAATTCCCACTATTTTTTGTCCTATTTTGTCCAAAAAAAATTTATTTTTACTTTTATTATTACTTTTATTTTTACTTTTAAAAAAGAAATTGAACAAAAAAAAAAAATTTCGTTGATTAGAAAAGGGAAACAAATATATTTTTCGTTCGTTTTGTTTTTGATATTAATTATGTTTACTTATTTACTTCTGTTCTGAGAGTTTATTTACTTTTTTTTGAAATGTATTTTTAGGTGGACAATTTTCAAGATCAAAAAAACATTTAACATTAATCAATGAACGCAATAGCCACTGTTTCACGTGTGTATGTATATATACGATGCATTGATTCAATTTCCGCCCTGTTTGCCAACTCGTTGAATTTAACTCGATTCCCATTAGTTATCTATTTTTAGCCTCTGAATCACTATCGCGATAGCGGAACTTTGAAATATATCCACGTACTCAGGAATTCAATAAAAGAAGAGAGAAGAGGAGAGAAAAAAAATTATGTTATTCATATTTTTTACACACACTTTTGGTCAATGTAAAAAATTATTTTTGTTTTTAAAAACACAAAAATCGCTTTTATTCCATTCGAAGTATTTTTTTATAGGAAAGATTTTAATATAAGTCTCTTTATAAACTTCTTTTTCTACTTTAAAACGAACTTACGTTCTAATTACACTTGTTTTAGTTTTATACGCTATTTTAATGTCTGACTGTGGGGGAATTTTTCCACTTATCGACATTTTTACTATTTTTCACTATTAAATCTTTTATTTACATTTTTTTTTGTTACAGTTT